CTTCAGCACTCAGGAGTGAATGCAAAGGGCTGCCTGCACGTGCAGCCGGGCCCTGGGGCCTCGGCGAGTGTTAGACAGGGAACAGAGTTTCCTAACAGTTCGGCTTCGATGACATGAAAGAAACTGCAGTTTGTTAAGTGAGCCCATCACTCGTGGGGGCGCAGGACACAGGCAGAAAGGGAGAGTGAGAGGGAGAGGGTTATTTATGGACTGTCAGGGGGCCATCGAGGCCCAGCAGGCCCAGAAGCAGCGGACTTCCCTCCACGCTAGTTTTCTCCCTCTGACCTTGGATGAACTAGCGAGCAGTATATTATGCCGGCCGATTGTGCCGGTTTGTCATGGGTAGCATTCTGGACTGTCACCGGAATGTAGGAAATGGATGAGTTTGAATTGAACCATGAGGTGGTCGTCCGGGCCTCTCTAGTCTCAAGGAGACCTGTCGCTGTTCGTCTGGGCTGGGCCTAATGAAAGCTCTGGCGGGGAGAGAGGTGGGCCTTTGATCTCTTTGTTGCAGCTGCTCCCTGGGAACTCGCTGAAATCAATGCCCTGTTTTCCTGAAGGACTGAATGGCTCTGCCTAACTAGCTTTGTGAAGCCGTGGGGAATTCACTGCTTGTGTTTATTGACAGCTGAAAAGGAGCACATGGGGTGGAATGGACCTTCTTGTGAAAACCAGGCACAAGGAAAATTAGACCTCAATTTAACACAGAGGAATTTGGAAATTCACCCCAAAGGAGACGGGAGTTTCTCATGCTTACATTAGAATGACTCAAGTTTGGGGCTGGTGTGTAATGAACAATGGAGGTTTTGTCACAACTATGTTATAAGTAGGAATATGGTATGCATAATAAGTGATCTTAAGTAGAAGTTGATTCAACACCCTCCTTTTTAAAAACATAGATGTAGAGAAAGGCAAATGCCATACTATGATAAGGTGAAGCTTTTAGTTTTGCCTTCAGAAGAAAAAAGTGATATTTAAAGTAAGAATATATACACACATCTGTGTGTATGTAAATATGTACAAGATAGACAAGTAAACTACTAATCTTTGTTCATCGAAAAGAACAGTTGTGTTTTCATTGTCTGGTGGTTTGATAATTTCTTTCATGCCTACATCTTGCAATCTGAACAACTACTTTCAAGATAACAATGTGGTATATCACGGAGTGTTAATTTTCTATTTCTTTTTTAAAATTTTCATATCATTTTTATCCTATTTTTTAAAAAAAGTATTGTACATGAATTTTGTCAAGTGGCTTTTATTCACTGAGGTTTCAAATTTGGGATCTAAGTTTCACTCGTGCCGGTAGTTCCTGCCAGTCTGCTCTGTGTGTGTGTTTCATGGAGAATAGTATAATACATTTATTTTTAAAAATGTATACTCCTAGGATTTTGTAACTGAAAGTCAGTGTCAAATATAGGTGAAACTGGCTAATAGGGCCAAAATAGCACCTAAAATTACAATGGTTCATAAATCTTAAAACTACCACCTGTCTTTTTAGACCATAGTAAAGAAAAACTCTTGCACTTGCCACAAGGAAATGTCATCACCCCTTCTTGCCACTGTCCCCACCCCTGGAAGAATTTATGGCGTCTTCCTTTGGCCCCCAGCCCTTTGTGCACACCTCAATTATAGTACTTAACACACTGCCCCAGCCCTTTGTTTCGGTGTATTCTGTGAGCTGGAAGTAAAGCAGCTGTGTTGTATTCATTTTGATATCTCCAAGCTTAGCAAAGCACTCGGCTCAGTAAATGGGGCTGAATAAATGAGGCTTGATGGCTCTCTGGACATTTCTTTGAATGTAATTACTTATCCAGCCTTCCGCAGTGAATTCTAAACTTTAGGAAACACCTGATTGGTCTGTTGTTACCTGATTGGTGCTATAGCTGTAGAAATCTTTTCTTTATGGAGGATTAGTAAACAGGTTTTCCCTTGGGCAGGTTCATTGGGCAGCCCACCAGGCTGCAGGAGGAGGCGCTAGCCTAACCGTGTATGGCTGCAGGAGGAGGCGCTAGCCTAACCGTGTATGGCTGCAGGAGGAGGCGCTAGCCTAACCGTGTATGGCCTTGTCCCTTGCAGAGGCCAGCTCTCTGCTCCATTATTCTTCCTTAAAAATAAACCTCAAGGTGATGTTTTGCTACTGCCATTAAGATGAAAAAGCTTTTAATTAAGAATTTCGTATGCTTTCACTTATCCAAAATTAGTGGCTCAGATGGATGCAGCTCCCATTTCATATGACTTAATTGTATGATGTAATTTTAAATAATGCAAACAAAGCATCCTTTTACAATTTCCTCAACCAGGTTAACTACCCCTCTATCATAAATCCTTTATCAGAGGAAGCAAACGCCTTCAGTTCTCAGTGAAAAGTGAAAGGGAAACTGATTTTGAAGGCTTGAGAACTCTGATTTCACAGGACCCTAAGACAAACTCAATTTCTGAGCTAGTCTCAAATTACAATCTATTTTTTAAGCCTGAGCTTTATTTAAGGAGGAAATAGTTCCCAACATTCTTTGGAAAAATAACTTCTTAAAATCATAACGAAATAACAAAATAACTTCTTAAAGTCATAACGAAAACTTTTGAGAAATTGCAGAGTATAGAAAAGCAAGCATAAAAGCACAGAAACTGGCTAATATTTAACTCATTTTAATTTGTACCACTACCGTTATTTTGAAAGAAATCTACTTGGATTTCTGTTCTGACTAAAAGAAAAGAATGAAATTTGAAATAGAGGTGTACAGATTTGTGGGTCATGGTAAGACCCCTGTAGAGGAATGGGTATCTGTAGGGGCTGTACTAATATGGTAGATTTCACAAGTTATTTTATGCTGAGATTATAGATTTCTTCTAAAACAGGAAGCTTACCGTGACTTTGATCATTGGTAGACTCATCTCCCTGACTATTCACTTGTAGATAAGAAAGCTTTACTCATAACTCTAAAGTTTTATAGCTTGGCTGCTCAGTCCTTCCACAGGAGGGGGGAGGTGAAGAATAGAGGAAAAACTAGGAAACCAAGTTGGACTTTCCCGTGTGATAGTAAACTCTCAGCGGTAAAGCTTATCTTTATCTGCTTTATCTACATGCAGGCCAAGGAAGTGGCTGCCACCAGAAACCGTGTGCTTGCTATGTTTATAGAATCAGATAACTTCAACTGTGGCATCCTCCGTAAAAGAGTCATTTTTTTCAGCCCAAATACTGAAATAACAATTTCAAGTAATTCAGGAGTCAGCCCCTCAAAACAGTTTCAGGGATCAGTAGGTTTTTGAACTCTGTCCTATATTTTTGTTATGCTACCTAAGCAGACATTCTAGTAGAAAAGACACCAGATTCCGCCCTCTTAGCTTCCCATCTACCCACACTGAGTAAATAAGGTGGTTTTGTAAAAGGCTTATGTAATCCAGGGGTAGTAGCACATATCTGTAATTCCAGCACTTTGGGAAACTGAGGTAAGAGGATCATAGTTTGATTCCAACCTTAGCAAGACCTGTCTACAAATAAAAAATAAAAACAGCTGCGAATGTAGCTCAGTGCAAAGGCCCTGTGTTCATTTCTGAACACTCCCCCCACTCCATCCCGCAAAGAAAAAGTCTCATGTTGTAGTCACTAACAATGAGATACCCTCCTTACCCACTAGACTGAATTGCAGGAGATCCTGAAATATAAGATCATTTAAAATCATACGTAAGATGTATATGAAGCCAAGTGTTACTATAGTATAAAGATTTTCATAATAATTCATTACTGAATTATTTGTATTAATCTTCAGTATATTCACAAGGATGTTAAATGGCTAGTGTATGTATAACTGTGCAACATTGCTTATTATCTCCTTTAGTGAGACTTTTTTCAACAAGAACCCACACTCAAAGGAAAAAAACCCCAGCCTAGTTCAGAGCCCAAGTCAAGTCCTGTGCACTAGGACCCCCCTCAGGACAGTCTTGTCTTTAAAAAAAAAAAATGGAGTTTTGCAGAGGTAGGTGTTTGGTTTTGATAGTTCGCTGCTTAGGGGGACCTTTCCTTATTCCTGAGTAGCCCCGCCCTCTGCCAGGACCCCTTCATCGCAGCTCTGCTCACTATGTGGACATATGGTTGGTTGGTTGATTAGTTGGTTGGTTGACACTTTCAGTTTCTCCCCTGGCACTGAGCACTGAACCAGGGCCTCAAGCATGCTAGGCAAGGGCCGTGCACTCTCCTGCTGAACTATATCCCCAGTCCTGTTTAGTTTTGTTTTTGTTTTTGTTCTTAAGGTCTCACTAAGTTGTCCAGACTGACCTCAAGTTTGCAATCCTGCCTTACCCTCCGGAGTGGCTGGATTACTGGTTTGTGTTACCTTCCCTGGCTTAGCCGACACTCTAAAAAGGTTCTAATTATCTTCTCATTTCCACTTCAAGCTGTAGGATATTTATACTTCGGAAAATAATTGCAAATGTCTAAGTGCTTGCTGCTCACCAGACACAGGGTTACGCACTTTTCTCCTGTTAACTCATTTACTCTGCGAAGGGTCTTGTGCTGCATGTGCCGAGACTGAGGTAGAGAAGTTAAACAGACTGGATAAGGTTCCTGGGTAGATCCAGTTAGTGCAAGGATTTGAATCGTGCCTTCTGATACCATAGCCATGCTGTTAATGACATCGCTGTTGCTTCTTGCAAATGGAAAATCCTTTAAAACTAAGTGTAGTGGCAAACAGTCTAATCCTAGCTACTGGGGAGGCTGAGGCAAGAGGACTAGAAATTCAAGACCATGCTGGGCAACTTAGCAAGTCCATGACTCAAAATCAGTACCTACGCACATACGTACATACGTATGTATTCCTTCAGGAACTAAAGGAATGTTGCACTGTGACACAGTGCCATGATGGCACGGGTGTGATGGGGAGAGATTTTTGATGCTGACACTTCCTAGTTCATATTCTGCAGAGGTAAATGTCGCCGTGCGGGGTACCAGTGTGGTTTCTTTGTCCTTTTTTATACCTCTGTCTTATGTTCTTTTCCCCTAGGTTTGCTCTCACATCTGATGTGGCCTCTGTTTTGGGTCACATGTGAAACTCACCTGTACCTCAAATAGGAAGGTAAGCATGTCTGGCTAAGCCCTCAGATGCCTGCACACTCACCTCCCCTGTGGCCATCGATAACTGTTCACGTTTCCTCCCTGCAGTGGAGCCCACATCAGGAGAAGGGTTACAGCATTTCCGCAGACCTCGGCGCTAGAAAGTTTGCATTTGAGGAACTTTAGGCCTTGAGGGAAAAGTAGGATTGAGGGATAAAGGAACTTACAAAACCCTATTTTAAAAAAATAAATAAAATTTACTAAGAACATCACTACTACCCATACTGAATTAGAATCAATGGGTGCTGTACCATTGATTTTTGTGTATCATGATTTGCTTACTAGAACATTTCTGATCTCCTTTCCTTCTCTTTTAAAAAGATGGGATTTTTTATCTTTTTTTTTTAAAGACTAGTCAGGTGCAGAAGTGAGAAGGGGGGAAAGAGTAGAACAAGGAGTTCAATCTGCACTGACTGTGAACAATCAGTTGAGATAACTCACTACCTTCAGACAGCCTAAAAAGATGTTTTAAAGTTGTTTTATCTTTAAAAAACAACAAAGAAGGTACTAGGACGTGGTATTGTCCTCCATTCAGATCTCGTATCTGCTATGTGATGTGTAACAGTCTCTAAATCGTCCTTCCTGAGTCACACTCGGGGCCGTTGTCCATTTGTGCGTGCTCCTTCCAGGTTTCCTAACGTTGTGAGTGAGGTAGGTCCAGAATTTATTTGAAGGAATCTATGATTGGCAGGGTCCCTGTTACATATCAACATTTTATTTCTCATTTTCCACCATTCTCACAAAGATAATGGTTTGTTTTAACCACACACTTCAAGATAATGGTCCTTAATTTCTGCCTTAAATTTCCTGTCCGACAATTGTGCGGTTTTCTCCTAGCACGTGTGGGTCTCTGTCCACGCCGTTTCACCCTGAAGCAGCCCTTCCCTTGTTTTGCAGCTTTTGCACTGTTGCTTGACCGTAACTCTTGGCTTCTTCCCAGGTACTTTTATGCAAAATTCCCTTACTGTAGTCCCATTTTTTTTTATTCTGGTGGCTTTTGTAAGTGTTCTTATCCATCTTACATCTCTGTCTCTATCTTTCTGTCTCTCTGCCTGTCTCTGTCTGTCTGTCTGTCTCTCTCTCTCTCTCATACACCCACACCCACACACACACACACCATTTTCCAAAGATAAATCACTGCCTGACTTTTGTGATCGTAAGGCTAATTTCCAGCTGTCCACGTGGGGGTATCAGGTGTGCCCACGTACATTCTGCTCTCCAGATCATTTTTTAAACATTTAATATTAATAGCGGGTTTTCATTTATTTGCACATGTTTGCAGTACATGAAGTTTACATTCATCATGGAGATTAGTATATGGGTGTAATCTCCAGATAATTCTAACCGTAATTGGTCTACTTCCCCAACAACACATTCAGAAGAAAAGATTTTGAAAAACTTAAAAATGCACAAATGGCTTCATCTTTTGGATAATTGTAAGACCAGTTCATGCCAGGTCCATTCACAATTGTTTTCTGTCATCAAGCTCAGTCTTGCATCATTAGCACAGTAAATTGTATTGCACTACTTAAGAATTTAGTAATTTTTCCAATACACACTGTACACTGTTAAAGCAAATAGATAATAATAGAAATTTCTGTTATATGAATATGTTAGAAAGTAAGATGATGATTCACATTAAAGAGAATGGAAGTGGATCACTCATGTAAATGCTTTCTGTTGCATGTTTGGGGTTCCAAAATAAATTATTAACAATATTAAAGTTTCCTTGTTATGAGCTCATCCATTGTGTAAGTAAAAATCACTCCTGTTACTTCTTAAAGGCCACACCTAACTATGTTCATCTTTTTTGGACTATACCTATCGTTATGCTGCTATATGTGTCCATATAATTTATCTTCTTATAACAGTTCCGAAAGATAGACATCCCCATCTTGTGGCAGAGGAGACTCAGCTTAGAGAAGAAATTATGCAACTTTGTGGAGGTCAAGTAGCAGAATTAGCATTAAACTCTAAAGTTAGAACTCTGAAGCTAGTTTTCTTCCCAGTCTGTCTTGGGCTATATCTGGAAGAACACTGTTCTTGGGTGAGTTCTTTAACCACAGCATCTTACTATAATACAGTATTAAGTAGAGTACGCATCCCTCATAATGAGTGAAGCAAGAGTAGAACACATCATTGTACACTTTCAGGTAGGAAAACTTATTATCTAGAGAGTAGTATTAAAACTCACATTCCCTTCTTCATGAACAAAAAATAAAAAGTGAAAATGAAGGTAATTAGAATAGAGGAAAGTATAAATATAACTATTAAAATTAACAAATAAAATATATTTCTTGATGTCTAAAATGCTGGAAACTATATATGTTTATGCTATAACAAAGTGTGTTCTATTTGGGGAATATCTTAATTGGTCCATTTTGTAGAATTTATCAAGGTAATATTTTTTCCTTTTGTTTCAGTAGCAGGAATTAAAAGTGACTCATGAAACACACACAATCACCATGTAAATTAAGATACAGTCTTTTTATTTTGTTTTCCAGAGATAGTTCTCATTTGTCTCAGTTATTCAAATCAAAGTACATAAATGTTGCTAGTTCTGATTCAGGGAAGAAATAGAACTCTCAGTGGTTTTGTGGAGAAACTTGGGCATTCAGTGGTAGCATTTATTCTTCCGAACAGTTTTGTTGCTTGGTTTGATTTGTACTATGGGAATTACTATGTGCCTATTTTATTTATTTTCTTTTTTAAATTAAGTTTATTGGTACATTTTAAACATACATAACGATCATTTTCATCATAGGGACTTTGTACTTATACACGACTTATCTGTTTGCCCATTTCAGTGTGCATAATTGATAAATCAGGAGAATCATCTCTATATCTGCTACCTGAAGTCTCTTTCTATAACTCAAAATGAACACTGTGAACACTGTGCCCAGTATTAAAAATTCAGTGGCTTGAATTAGACAGGTCTCTTGGTTGCAATTGACAGAAGTGAATGGACCGTTGAAAAATTCTAAACAGGTGACTGACAGGAACATATTTGCATGTTAGAGGAACCACACTGACAGCAGTTTTCTGACGAAATGAAGGGAGCCAGTTCAAACCCAGAGAGCCTGGGGAAGAATATGGATCTGTGTCCAGCGTGCAGAAGTGGCGCTTTCCCTGGACCTGGCTCCGGGCTTCTCACTAGGGTGCTGGGTATCTGGAAGAAGTTAGATAAGAATTCAGGCTGTACCGGTGGAGTGGGCAGTCCTCCTTCTCCACATCCCTCCCCACTCAGGTGCAGGCACCACAGATGGGAACGCAGCTTCCTGTGGATCACAGCCCTCGTAGCTGCACACCCCAGCCACCCTTCACATTTAGAAGTGTGCCCTTTGGCAAGAAAATAAGCTGCTCTGCTGCCTGATGCTTGCCTGTCTGAAATTCTGCTGGCCACAGCTCTTTGCATTCAAAAGTTCTAATTTCTGTGTTATAGCAGATCTATCAGGCTTCACCAGGGCCTTTAAAAATCCTTTTCTGGAGGGGGCAGGCATTCAGCTATGAGCTGAAGTGGAGTTTCCTTGGAGAATGGGAATCAACCCATTCACAGGATTTATACCCTTTTTCCCTTCCACAAAGTGCCTCAGTTTCATGGAGACCATCATTTCCATCATATGGAAATCAAGTCCGGACCCCTTCCCTGCACTCTGACTTGGGAGGGACACCCAGGGTTAGGGAGCAGGGGTGTCCTGGACCTAAAATTGCCAGCATTAAGGCTCCTCTTTCTGCTTCAAAATGGATTTCCCTATTTTCCTTTTTTGTTTGTTTTTAGCAGTCCAGAGCTTAAGATTAAGGCCTCCCCTTTCTAGGTATTCGTGTATGGATCAGAGGCGTTATCTGTGCGTGTTCTGCGTCTGCCCTGGTTTCCTTCCTTTGTGCACTGTCCAGCCCAGGATCTAAGGCACATGTCCCACCTTCAGGTCACTAGAACCTTCACTAGACCTCTCTATGGGCTGATGGTGGCCTTTTTATGAAAAACAGATCCAGTCCCAGCTGTTGTAGCGAAGCAGGGTTCTAAGTAGGATTCATAGCACCTTCCTGAGGGACCATGGATCCGATTCTCCCTGCACAAAGCTATTCCCCAGCACCATCTTCATTTGAACTCTGGCCTCCGGTGTGGAATGGAAGTGTGTCCTTCCCCTCCCGCCACCATATACCTCTCCGCTGCTCTCAGAAGTCCAGCAGAATTTCTTCACTGGATTTAGATGTTAACAGACGTCTTCAGCCCATTTCTGGCTTTGGCTGGGTTAAAATACAAGAGATAATGAACCTTTCATTGTTTTGAATGAGCTAGAAAGGGAAGGGGGGTGGGACAAAGTCAGATGCCCACCATGCCGAATTGCAAGCCAAAATAAAGGCAGTCCGTACCTAAGAAGAAGTAACTAGGGGACCTAGGAGGAGGGAGCAGACTTAAGACAGTAAACCCATAACAACCTTATACCTTAATCAGAGAGAAAAACCTCGTTATAACTCCAGAGTTTCTGACTTGGTGGTAGCTGGGAAGTTATAGCGAAGGGATGGAGTCTCAAATCACATATTCCAGGTTCACATCCAGCTCAATAGCTTGCTGGTTGTGGAATTGGGCAAATCAGCACAACTTCTAAGGCTTTGTTTTCCCATAGTAAAATAGGGCTGCCATTGCCTACTCAGAGCCTTACTGAGGATGTTAAGTATCAAACAGTAGCCATCACCTCTGAGCAACCAAGACCTGATAGCCATCACTGCACAGCGATACCCTCAGCCAATTTACATAGCTCCAGGAGGTGCCAGCTTGAGACCTGGAGTGTGAAACCTCCACTTAAAAGACATGATTAGGTGGGGCACCACGACATAATACAGGCTGAGAAGTGCAGGGAAGAGGTAGGTGCACTGGTCTAGGAATTTGAGAGGGAGGCCAGGGTTGAGCCAGGGATGGTGACGCATACCTGCAGCCCCAGCTACTTGGGAAACTGAGGC